TCTAAGATGGTAGCAGAAAACCACTAGATGAGTTTCTAGTTTCAGCTGAAAGCTGAAGGTCTAAGGATCTGCTCAGCTGTTCCTTCTGACAGGCAAGAGAGTAGAAACCAAATCCCTGTAGATGAAGATGGCCACCCAGAACAGGAGGCTCAACTGCCAGCTGTAATGAAAACGATCCATGGGGTATGCTTGGCAGCTTATTTCAGATGTGATACACTGCTCGCTTTGTGCACTTGCCTTCTGTTGTGGTGGCTTCCTCATACTGAACCATAAAACATGTACACAGTGGGCGCCGCTCCTGGTGCCAAACGTGGCTTGGGACTCGGCACAGCAATATAGCTTGTGTAAGTGTCTTCTGTGAAATCCCTGCTCTTGCTTCTGGAAAGAACCCAATGGTTCTCTTCTTGGTCTGCAATACCACAGCTGTTGTAAAGCATGGTGAGATGCTGTCAGATGATACCTCTTAGGCAGTGCAGGAAGATCTTGCAGGGAAAATGAGCTGCTTGGATGCTATAGTACCTGCTTGCAGGAATATTGGCAAAACTTTTCCCTTCAGCTTTTCGGGGCTAGGTTAGCGATGATTCAGCACCACACACACTGCCGCTTGCTGTGATAACTTGTTAACATTTGCTCTTGGGCCTCTCTGTGGGAAAGCTGTTTGTTTCGTGGTATGATTGTCTGAAATTCAAACTGTAGTAACATTGAAGTTTTAACAGGCTGTCCTATCCACAGACCTCAACTTTTCTAAAGAGCTTGCTGTCTTGAAAGAGCAAAATGTGCTTGTTTTTGTTTCCCCCTTCTCCCCAAACACTTCTGTGACAGGTTGTAGGAGCAAGGTTGGAGCCCACCTGCAGTGGTTTAGGAGCAAAGTTGGAGCCCTGATCATCCTCTTCTATCCTAGAGATACCTAATGCTGGTACCTTCCAGGCCATGAGTTAACTGCCAATTACTGGCAGGGCTGGCACAGCATGAGTAGTAACCATAGTACCAAGACAGTGAAGTGTTTCTGCCTTTCCAGAGGCTGGCACTTAATTGCCCCCTTGTTTCTTTGTAGTGTGTGGACAGGTACCCTTAATGCTTTTAATTGTTTTCTCCTCTCCACTCCCTTGTGCAGCGGCAGTGGCACATGTTGTGCTGTACTGTGGTCTGGGATGCTGGTTTCTTACAAAGCAAACATCTCGGAGCATTTCGGGTCTTGATGCACGTACTTGCATTACAATGGCAGCTATTTGGCTGCTGTGCAGGCACTCCTTAGCCCAGAATAGGGACAGCAACTGTCTCTAGCTGCTTAAAAACTTCCTGGCTCAGTTCAGTCTGAAAGCATTAGCTTCCAGCTGATCTAGTATAATTTGTCTTGGGTGCACTAAAACCAGGAGGGGAAACCTCTTAGCAATGCTGCATTTGGAAATCAGGATCCTGCTGAGCAGAACATAATCTGGAGTGCTTCGGGTCCATCCTTCCTGCAGGAGCGCTGGGGATGATACCAGGGAAGAACCAGCTCATGGCACGTTCGATTCTGAGCTGCCAGTGTGAGCACTGCCCTTAATCTAGATTGATTACTTAATTGTTCACTGTAACAATTCTATAATGAAGTTCTGTCTGGCAGTGTGCTCGCTAGGGGATTCATGGTTGGCAATAGCCTGCCATGCAGCTAATGTCCCCTGTGCTTCATGCACAGCAGAGCCTGTTGGTTTTAGATGTCTGCTCTTTGGAAAGGCCCCTTTCGGGAGGTCGTAGTCAGCATGATTTCCCCTACCTCGTTCCAAGAGTAAATGTACTCTAGAACCTGGTGCACAGCACATCTAGCAGCTGTGGAGGAGGAAGAGACATGGGATTTTGCAGAAATACCTGTCGTCTTGTTCAGGCGCAGTGGCTGCAAAGACCGATAGGAAATGTGGAAATTGTATTACTATGCAGGATAACCTATTTTTTTCCCTAAGTGTTTTTGAACAGCAGCTTTCTTAGAAAATCTTTGCTACATTTTGTCTCATGGTGAATTTAGCAGATGGAACCACAGGGTTTTTTTAGACCTTGCTATCCTTCATAAGGCCACATACAGGTACAAGCTTGCTTTGAGAGGGGAAAACTGCTCTTCTGTGGTAGGATAATAAGGTCTTAGTGGTGCGTGAAGGAGTTCTGCAGCCATCCTGGTCACTTGTGTGCAGATCTGTCTCAGCTGGTGTGTTGCTGGTTTCAGCCTCTCTGGGACATGATCTAATTTAGTGATCAGATCCTGACTGTATGCTTGTTTAAGGAAGAGGGAGATGAGCAGGGGGTGCTGTCTGTTACTTTCAATTAGCTGGCTGCCTAATGAACTATGGGTGGATTAGCTGTACCCAGCAGGCGGCAGCAGCAGTGTGCTGGCTGGGGCTGTCCCCCTTGGGGTGCTGGGTCCCTGGGGAAACAGGGTGACAAGCCGGCTGACTCCTTGTGCTCCAGGCTCCAGCTGCCTGGGATGCCGTGAGGTGCTCCAGCTGCTGCTGCTCCCATGGCAAGCTGCATGCCTGCTATTTTGCTGGATTCTGCAGGAATCTGTTAGTGCCTGAAATAGCTTTGGCTGAGTAAATAGTGGCAAAAGCATTTCAAACCCAAGAAACGCACTTGATGTTGGTAATGGAAGGTGCTTTTGGATATAAATCCAGGTTGGAATTTGCTGAAGGGCTGGACCAAGCACAGTACTGCGCTGTCAAACTAGTTTGAGTCTTGAATGAAGGAGAGTGCATCATCTAAGGGACCCTTTTCATTTATTTGTTTGCAGTAATAAATCACAAGGGCTTGTGAAGTCCACTGTATTACCTTGAGTAGGGTGCTTTGTGCAGGGTGTTCCTAAGGATCAGTGATTTGACTGACACATGTGACTGCCTTATAGATAAGACGCTGTGTGTAATGTAATCGCTGGTTACAGTGGCCCCTTCAAGATGTGGGTTTGGTACAACCCAGTCAGCTCACAGTGTGCAGAGCTGTGCTCTGCCCAGTGGCTCTGCTAATGCCAGTGTTTCTGGGGCAGGGGAACATAGCATGAGGGCAGGGGCTGGGATATGAGGGGTGGCTTGCATTTGAAAACTGAAGGTAGCTTTACAAGTGCTTTTTTTACTGAAGAATTAGTCTTGGGAGGGCACACCCAGTCTTCTTCCTTGCTATTCCCACCTGCTCCCCTAGCTTGCTGTCTGCTCTTACCCCTCTGTTCTCAATATAGGAAAAATTGCATGAAATCTCCTAGGAGGAGAGCCCTGGAATGCCCAAGGGGCATAACGGCCCCATCTCCAACCTGCCACATCAGGATGCCCTGAGTTCATGCAGCGACTTAAGTGTGATGTGCAGAGCTTTCTAATCTCTGGGAAGTCTGAGAATCTCTTCTTTCAGAGGAAGAAATGAACTGTGTGAGCTTGCCTCAAGAGTGCTACTTTCAGAAAAGTCAGGAAGAGTTGCTTTCATTCTGATCAGCCTCTTACTCAAAGGAGCCTGCTGGGAATGATAGGCCATTATATCTCCCCTAAGGCTTGTGCCATTCACTGGGCTAGCTAACTGCTTTAATTGAGTGGTATAGGGAGTGTTCTGGGCTGGTGTGACCTGGAAGTCTGATAGCTGTCAGCATGGCTCAAAGCTCCTTCTGGGAATAATGTGTGCAAGTGTCTCTTTGTGACTTTCTTGATTAGTGTGTGTGGGGATCTTGGATATTAAAACCAATTAGTTGTCTTTAAGGTCAGGGACTTATTTGACCTACCAGCATCCGTTTCAACTTGGCCTGAATTGAAGATCTTTGGAAGAGGGCTGTACAACTTTTGTAAAGAGGCTAATGAAGTGATGCTTTTTAAAGCACTTCCCTGCTGTCTCTGTAGCCCAAACACTTTCAGGCAGGATGCTAGTGCATGACAATCTCAAACAGCAGTAGGCAGGTACTGTGTTAATCTTGTTCTACCATAAGAAATGCAAAAGAGCAAACCATTTTTTTTTTTTTATGGCTAAAAAGCACTTTGTTGGTGCTCTGATTCAGAATCCTGAGTAGAGGTTTTTTTCACAGAGCTTAGCTGGTTTGCCCTTGAGAGGGCTAGAGGACATGATGAGGCATTTGATTTTTATGCCATTACTCTAATGTGAAGTATGAGGCCTGGGTTAAATTTGAGATAATGCAGAAGCAGTGCTTCAGACATCTGGGATACTTCAATGGCAAATGGGAGGTACCCGCTGGAAGGCGAACAGGAACTCCCCTGATTTTTTGTTTTGGCTTTGGATAGATTTGGACCATGAGGCTGCTTTGGGGATTAAGACCTCTGCAGGATCCACCCCAAAGCTGTACAAAAAATGAATATCAACTTTTTTTCATTTAAGCCAGTTCTGTGATTTGTGGGGTCTTACCTCCTGAATCCATGCCTGGGGTCGGTGCTTCTGAGCTAGCAGTCCTGTACTTAAGCATGCTTTATTTAAAGCAGCTGCCAGAGTTGGTGAGCTTCTTCTCTATAAAGCAAAGTGCTAGTGGGAAAGTAGAAAAGACTAACTGCTACAAAAGTATCCTTCCAGTTAAGTTTTCTGTGTTAATCTCAGGAAAACAAAGTGTTAAAACTGCACTTGGGCTGGCTAGTGCTCCAGCTGTCTGAGAACAAATGGAATGGGCTTAAAAATGTCCTTAAAGTATGTGGCTGCATTGTTTTAAATAACCTCTGCTGGGGACTGCTTACATGCCTTTAGCTTGCAGCCCTTAGCCTGTACATACGTTCTTTTTTCCAGAATAGTATCCCAGGTTAAATGAGCAGCTTTTGGAGGACTTCCTTGGTAGTGGCTAACCTGAACAGTTGGTTGTGGAGTCAAATCCTCTGAAGAGCCTGTTTTGTTTTCTTTTCTCTCCCATTATTGTCCAGCAGAAGGGGAATTACACCAGTAACAGTGAGGTATCCTTGGTGGGGGGAGGGAGGAGACACAGCTGCGTGCATGGAATATGGTATGAATACACTTGTCGCTTTGGCTGGTGGCTGCTCACAACCCCTCTTTTTTCCTTTCTCAGCAATGGTACCAGCATGATATCGTTGATCATTCCCCCCAAAGACCAGATTTCACGAGTGGCAAAAATGTTAGCGGATGAGTTTGGCACCGCCTCCAACATTAAGTCTCGAGTGAATCGCCTTTCAGTACTGGGAGCCATTACATCTGTACAGCAAAGACTGAAACTCTATAACAAAGGTAACTTCTAGCTTGTATGGATGCTGGCAAACTTCCCTTGCTTGGAAGCAGCCTTAAGTTCCTGCATTATGCAGTTTTCTCCTAATCAAATCTGTTGGCCTGTGCTGCTGTTTGCACTGATATTCCAGGTATGTTGCCCATGGATGACTGCTTCAAGGGTAGACCTTGGGACTAGAATAAGTAGGATGGCCCTTGTCTTTGATAAGCAGGCTCACGATTCTGTCCTTAGCAGTACTGACTTTCCTAAACTTGGCCAGCCTTAAGAGCTATTCCACAATAATTCATTTGCATTAAACTAGTGGTTTTCCATCAAGCAGAAATTTGTCTGTCTTATGCATGCCACTATGCAGCTACCATTATTTTGGGACGAAATAGACCCAGGCCATCTAAAATGAATGCCGGAAAAGAGTTCATCGCTACTGTCTGTACACTGGCAAGTGGCCTTCATTGAGATGGTCAGTCTATAAATCACTGTATAAGAAGTAGGAAAGCTTCACGGGGATGTTCAGCCTTATTCTGGATTCTGTGAGCTTGCATGCTCATGGGTTTAACAGACAGGTACGTGTTCTTGAAGCTTTGTTGCAAGTCTTTCCATCAGTGTTACCTTTAGCTTCCTGCTCTAAGCTGTTTAGTATAGGTGCACTAAATTAGTTTGTTTTCCATTGTAGAGATCTGGGAGGGAATGAGGTGGGGGGAATGGAAAGTAAAAAAACTGGGAACTTCAGTTTCAACTCTGCCTTAAGTCTCAAGGCATAGTAGTTAGTTTTTGATGGGTACAGCTTGCAGTATTTCTTAGTGATCTAAAATTGCATTGTGTCCTTTATAGTACCTCCAAATGGTCTGGTTGTTTACTGTGGAACAATTGTGACAGAAGAAGGAAAAGAGAAGAAAGTCAACATTGACTTTGAACCTTTCAAACCAATCAATACGTCGTTGTATTTGTGTGACAACAAATTCCACACAGAGGTAAGAAGTCTCCTATTGCCTGCTGGTCTTGCAGTAGTCAAAGTTAGACTGCTTTGCTAGACTCACTGGAACAATCCTTGGTGTGCTTGAGTCCACAGTCTGTAGAACAGCAGGCTTTAATTAAGACATCCTGCTGGTGAAGCCACTGGGTGGTTTGTGACTGGCTAGTATTCAGAAATGTGTGATATTTGCTGAAAGCAGTTGAGATATTGTCCAGCTCCTACTACAGCTGACTCTATGGCCCAGCTGGTAACTGCTGAGTTTGTGTAACCCACAGACATAAGCTTTTATCTGCAACTGGAGGCAGGTTTTTTTTTCTTAACCTTAGAGGCCCATAGAAATTATTCCAAGCCAGGCCTTAAAGTAATGCCAAGATAATACTAGTGTTGCCAGTCTTGATATCAGTTGTGTTAACTGAGACCCTTGATGGAGAACTGGCATGTGCCTAACCTGTCTGTGGTAAAGTGGGATTATTTTTATCCAACATCTGCTTATCTTAAGTCAAATAAATGGTTTGAGGCATATTTAAAGTAATGTGGATTACACTAGTCTTGACTGCATGAAGTCAGTTTATTGTGTCTAAGTCTGTTTTGGCTCTGTTGGCAGTTGCAGAGGTCTCAATATTTGTAGTAGATGACTGCCTTTCATGTCTGTGGCATTCACCATGATAAGTGTTTGGACTGAGGCTTAGTTGCCTGTCATCAAACCCGTATGACATGGGCTTGACAGGCCCTTCAGTGATGTAGTTCTACTTGTTTTGCTTGGGTTTTTGGAGCTCTGATCTATGATTGGATTTCAAAGGGTAGTAGGAGTACAGGAAGGAAAGGTATGCTTGTTAAGAGGGAGGTACCTCACCTGTGTATGTTTCCCCACCAAGGATGAAATCCCAATACATCTTTGACCTACCAGGAGTAACAAAACTGTGCACAGGTACAGCTCTTGAGTTCTGCTGAGCCCACAGGTCCATAGGAAACTAAAAGCAAGAGGTAAATAAGAGAATTTAGGAGAGAGCCAGAGGTGCAAAGCTAAGGGCGATATTTATCCCTGGTTGTTGGTAGTGGGTGGACAGCAGTGGGTTGCCTTCTGCCATATGAGGAAAGGGATGCACTTGGTCTTGGCTGCAGCTGCTGCATCAGGGCGCTGATTTAGTACAAAAATGTAGCTGCTGCCCAGTGGGCTGTTCCCAGGAGGCAGTTGTAAATGCACTCTTGCTGGTTTGTAGCATTGCTCAGCAAGAGAATGGCAATAACTTGAGAGGAATTTGTGGTAACTGCGACTACTGATGATGTGATTACTAATGGCACCTTTTTCCATGGACTGTTTGCTCACCTGTGTCTTTGAGTATGCGATTATCAATTTTCCTTGGTATTGTCGGCACTGCAGAATCAAATCTGGCTGTAAAAGCCTACTGTCTACTATCTTGAGCAACGGGATGATGTTGGCACTGAAGTCCTGACTTACCTATCTCATTTGGGTGTAGAGCTGTGCTTTTAACCCCATGGTTCCCCCCAACATGCAACTAGAACTTAACAGATAGGGTATCTGGCTCAGTACATCAACAGATTTCCTATGAAAGTGAGGACATGTCAAGGAGCAGAAAAAGGATGTGATCTCACCTTTAGGCTGAAGCTGCAAAGAGGAAACTCAGCTGAGGCTGAAGGAACAGAATAAAAGCAGTAGTCCCTTTTTTGTGCTTGATAGGTCAAGCAGTGGAATTGCTGACATAGAACTAATGAAGGAGAAACTGGGAGAATCACTGATCATTGGATACTTTATTAAAATAAGGGAATCAAGAACATCAGAGCTGTAGTCATCTGATGCCTGGCAAGGGTATCTGATACGATTTCCTCTAGATATTTTATTGCCTGTGTGAAACCAAAGTAACTTTCCAAGAGGGATATGAACCCTGCTGTATGTCTGAAGGGTAGGATTTACAATGACTTATTTTGATACCTTGGCTGGAGCATTCATTCCAGTCACACGATTTGCTTGGCTCTGTCCCAGTTAAATAGATTGCAATGTAATATGCCACTTCCTCCTCTCATTCATCCCACTGCTGGGGAATTAATACAGAATATTTATTTTGGCCAGTAGATTCCATTAAACCTTACTGTCTGTTTCTTTTAAGTTTGAATGCAGTAGACTTGATTGTGTGGATTTTGGATAAAGATGACTGATGGTTTTTATTCTTTCCATTCAGCCCAATAATCAAGCTGGCAGGCATGCAGTCAGTTAAAGGTCCTGTGAAGTAAACCAAAACCATCACTCTTTCAGTATTAAACTGGTGACTTAAAACAATCTGGAATTTGACAAGTTCTCCATCCTGCTGATGTGTTTTTGCCAGCCAGAAAGAAGATTATTGCTATTACATTTATTGGGCATGTATAAGTGAACAAAAGTGTGTGTGTGTGCTGAATGTGCCTACCTGCTCAGGCTGCCCTTGAGGGAATGGTAGCTGACAGATTCTCTCAAAAGAGTGTGGCTTTTGGATACTTGTGGATGTCTCACACCACTAGAACCAGGGCTGGACAGGAAATTGGACAAAAGTAACTCCAAAGCCTTGATACTAAACAGTGCTTTAGTTCTTAGTCAACTTAAATGACCTTACAGGATGAATTTTGCTGCTGCCTTTAAAGAGAAGACAATGGAAGGATAACTTCATTTTCCAGCAACTGTTATGGCTGTCTTCTCTATAGCCAGTTGTGTATAGGATAATTACTGCTGTTGTTACTTAATTCTGCTTTGTGAGGCTGAATTTGTCATAGCCACTATAGATTTCATCATTCTACCTTTGGGACTTTGTGAAGTCAGCAGATGCAGCAAACCACTATTTGTGGTGGTTGGCAAGTTGAAAGTCTATATTGGTGCTTTGTAGTATAAAAACTAAACTGAACTGACGAATAGCCCAATCAGTGAACTAAGCAAGTTCTGCTTTCCTGGCTGGAATTCTAGGAAAATAACTCTTCCAGTTTTGCCAAACGGAGAGGTAGTGCAGCCTTGTAGAGGTGTGATCTGTTTCACTTAACACTTTCCAGAGTCAGTCTTTAGGGTTTTGCTATTACACCTGCCTGTGATGTTATGTGACGAACTGGTAATGCTGTGAAAATAGTTATCAAGCTTAAACATTAGTTTTCTTCCTGCTCATGATAGCATTGTTTGAGACAGTAGTCTGGGATAGTCTCAACTCCTGGATCTGCTGCTATTTCTCTAGTTTATTTGTAAAAAATAGCAATGACCACATACAGAACTAAAATTTATTGATGTGTATTGTTTCTGGTAGCCTTTCTGAACCAGGGTCCTTAATAAACTGGTGCTTACTGTGGACGACATCGTTTTCTGTTCCAGGCTCTTACAGCGCTGCTTTCCGACGACAGCAAGTTTGGCTTTATTGTAATAGATGGTAGTGGTGCACTCTTTGGAACTCTTCAAGGAAACACAAGAGAAGTCCTGCACAAATTCACTGTGGATCTTCCAAAGAAGCATGGTAATGTGCTAGTCTGTCTCTAGACTGTTTGCAGCAGCATATCATGGGGTGGGATGTGAGGGTAGAAGCAGGGAACTTGGCCTGTAGATGTTTAGCTCTACTCAGTTCTTTGCTCCCCTGAAATCTGACAGCAAAGCTTCTAGTCTGAGCCTTCTGTCAAAATCAATTAATCACTGTAATATGCAGTTGATCTTAAAGTGGTCCTTTTTATTTCTTGGTGCATTTGTCCCTTCACTTGGTTTTGGGACAGTCTTAACTAAATATCACTAGCACAAGTAGTAATACAACTTGGTAGTGTCTTTAAAGTTTGCATCTGATGGTGTTGCATGCAAACCACAGTGAAAAGCAAGAAACTGTTCCTTGTAGGAAGCACAGAAGCCTAATGGAGCAAGGAAAATTCTAGTTCCACTATATGATGCTGTATTGTAGTGAGCCACTGATGAATTGAGGAAATCATCTGTTAGCTACTCCTGGTTTACCATCCTTCTCTGTAGATTAGGATGGGACAAAATGAAATAGAAATGTCTCCCCGAGTAAGCTTCTGCAGCAGAGACTGCTGGCATGCATTGCATCAGCAAGAAAGGTATGTGAGGCAGTGTAACAAAGGAAATGGCTTTTAATGAAGGTACAGGACATAGAAAATGTGCACAGATGTTCAAAATTTGTATAGAGTTGCGAGTCCATACAAAAAGGGAAAAAACCCCTCAACATATTTTCCTCTGTGGGATATATGGAGAAAAATCTCTTGCTGTGAATGAACTCTCTTTATTCACTTGCTGTTTCAATGAGCACCCCTGGCTCTGCTTGTGGCAAACTAATTCTGAAGGCTGCATCTGCCCTTGGCTTCAGTTATTCAGGGCCCAGTTGGGACCATGTACTAATAACCTTCCTGAAATGAAATGACTTCAAAATTGCTCTCTCGCATCTGTTCTCTCGTAAAGGTAGAGGAGGTCAGTCTGCCTTGCGTTTTGCTCGTTTGAGAATGGAAAAACGACACAACTATGTAAGGAAGGTAGCAGAGACGGCTGTGCAACTGTTCATTTCTGGCGACAAGGTGAACGTAGCTGGTCTCGTTTTAGCTGGATCAGCTGACTTCAAAACTGAATTAAGTCAATCTGACATGTTTGATCAGGTAGGTGGCTTTTTCTGAGCAAACCCTAAGTATTTAAGCTGTCAGTAGTAACATGGTGATAGTAGTAGCTCTGGTATAAAATGCATCTCAGGAGGAATGTAACTTTGGTGTCTTAAGTGATTTGATCAAAACTAAAAATCTATATATCCTAGAGGGGTCTCCCTTTCCTAATACCTCCTGCAAGGAGGTAAGATCTTCTTTTCTTAGTAACAGTGCTAATAAGAAATCTGTCCTCCCCAGTTTGGAACCGGTGTTCATGTTCTTTGTGTTCCAAAATCCAAAGTAGAAGCTTTATTGGAATTAAACTCCACTAAACCTAATCTCTGTGGCCCTGTTGCCTGAAAATTGTGCTTCAATATTAAGCATTCAGAGGTCTCTCCGACTCAGAACCTCTGCTTGCAAGTGAAGCAAAATACATTAATGCTGTGACTCTTGCGAGGAGGTACTTATTCTTGTGGCATTATGAAGTAGTCTTATGGCAATGCTGTGTAATAGACTCTTTTTCATGTCTCCTCTTTTTCTTGTTTAGCGGTTGCAATCCAAAGTGCTCAAACTAGTTGACATTTCATATGGAGGAGAAAATGGATTTAATCAAGCAATTGAGTTGTCAACTGAGGTCCTCTCCAATGTGAAATTCATTCAAGAGAAGAAACTAATAGGTATGTGACTACATGCTCAGCCTTCTCCTGAGCTAGATATTCTTGATTGAATGTGCTGATCTTGCTTGAGACCTCCTGGTAATGCCTTTGTGTGCTGCCTCAGCCCTGCAATGCTTTCTGAGTTGAAAAGAGCATGACTTGTAGTGATTCTTTCTGTTACCTGGACACCTTCTCAAATGCTGCAGGACTTAATGAGACTTTAAAGAGTGGGTTTTTTGTTGTTTTTTTTTCCCCACCAAACTTCTCAGATCTCTGCTTATCTTCTCATCAGAGATCACCTTAGATTCAGGCCTTCTGGTGACATGTGGGTGTGAAGGGAAAAAATATCTTCTCAGATTGTCTGCATCTTCAGCAAGATGAGAGTTAAGATTTATTTTGTTTTAAGATGGCAGTAGAAATGATCCTCTCTTTGACTGTCAGCAGACAGATGTTGCTAATTTGAAAGCGCATTGAAAGCACAGGAGGGCAATAGTAACAGTAGTTACCTTACGCTGAAAAGAGTGAAGTGCCTGCTGGTGGGTTAGTCCAATTGTTTCATAGCGAAGGTAAGCCTTTCAGTGGAGCGAGATTCCTGATGGGACAGTGTTTGGAGTTTCTGCTAATGAATGTTCCAAATTACATGCTTTGACATGTTATCGTATCCCTTGCTTCCTTCAGCAGCATTGCAGTCTCCTTTTTCCAGTTTCTTATTGCATTCAAACCAGGCTTGTTAAAAATCCATGTGGCATGGTCAGTGTTTCATGACAATCTCTTTCTTTGTACACTTGGCTGCAGGACGATACTTCGATGAAATCAGTCAGGACACGGGGAAGTACTGTTTTGGCGTTGAAGATACACTAAAAGCTTTGGAAATGGGAGCAGTAGAGATACTGATAGTCTATGAAAATCTGGATATAATGAGATATGTTCTGCACTGCCAAGGCACGGAGGGTAGGTGGCGCTTCTGCGAGACTGAAAGGTCTATGAAGGTTTAACACCTAAGCGGTCTCACTTGGATAGATTACACTGGAGGAACTCCCTAAGTAGATCTTAACTTTAAGGACTTGAGATGTTGTGTAGGCAGGTCACTAACTTGCAGCTTCCCAGCTCTTCTGGGGGAAAAGTCTGAAACTAGCAAACTGTGGAGAAAGAATTGCAGTGCTGGGGTGGCAGCTTGTCACAGAGCTAGCATGAGACCTGCCTTTCAGTTGTGTAAGCACAAATGTGATACCAGTGCATTACAGAGGGGAGACTGACTTGACCCTTATGGCCAGAAACACAATTCTTACTGACTATAGACAAACCATATGCCTACAGCAGGACCTCTGCCTTTTTTGGTTTTGGCACTACAGTTATTCTCTACTGGTGTGCACTCTTTGGTTTCCCATAGAGCTTCAGCTAGAAGGAAAGGTCATGTCAATGAGCAAACCCTCTGTGTTGTAATTGCTGGCTGCTGTCAGTCTCTTGCTGTCTTTAACCTGCATCTGGTAGTCTTATCCAACCTAATATTTTTTTTCTCTCCCTTCTCAGAGGAGAAGATCCTGTATTTGACACCAGAGCAAGAGAAGGATAAATCCCACTTCACAGATAAAGAGGTATTTCAGCTTTGGGGCTTGTAGATTTATTCACAGTATACTGGTGCAGCATTCTGAGTGTCTAAGCTTAGTTTGTTGCAAATGTGTGAGTGCCATATTTCTGGCACTCAGATGAGACTTCAAGACGGTAGCCTGTGGCTCTTCCTGTTCACCTTCAGTGTCACCCCTGGATTCTAGATTTGCTTTTCTTCAGTACTCCCTGCTGCCAATTGCAAAGTTGTGTAAGTGAGTTGAAGTGACAGGCAGTATGGGGTCTTTGACCACCATCAAACCATTTCCTGGAAGAGTTTGGTAGCCACCATACAACATGCAGGCTATGGTCCCAAGCCATTACTCCCTGCTTATTGTGCACTGATTTAGTTAGTACGAAACAACTGTGAAGCTAGAAACTATGACGTGGGTTTAAGTGCAAGGGAATGTTTGGTTCTAGATATATTTGAAATGTGGATCTGTCATTCACTTTCTGTGAGTTTCTTGCCTGTACAGGTCAAAAAACCCTGACGGGGCTATATTACTTTGCAGAGTAAGCTGGGCAAACAAGTCTGTCCCTTGCAAAAAGGGTGGTCATCCCTGTCTTGTATTAGTACTGCCAGGGTAGCAATTTCCAGCTGCTTTCCCTCCTGGTGGGGTAATTGCTAATCCCTTCTGTGCATGGAAGGTTTACAATGTTATCTGCAATGATGTGGTGTTTCTATGCCAATAATCACTTGACCTTCTACTTAAAAACTATACTTTTTGCCTCTGTATTTGCCTAGATCAGTATTTCCTAGAGTAAACAGTGCCTGGTTAAATGAGTGGTGATGGACTGTTTGTATAAAGCAAATCTAAAGAAACAAATGAAAACTAAGAGTATAGCATGAGGTGACAGTTGAGCAGAAGAATAAACAAGGCATTTTCTCTCCTGCTTCTGCACTAACTTCTGTAGTATGGAGGCCCAAAATGAGGCCTGTCAATATTTAATTTCTTAGCACCAGGAGCCTTCTGCTTGTGCCAGCACTTGACTGATACAGATGTGTCAGGAATG